ATCCGTCTCACTATTTGGGATACATTTAGAAAACAACGCGCTCAGACTGGCAACACTGGGACACTTATAAGTGAATGGCTACACAGTGCCTGCAAGCTGACGTTGATAAAGCAACCAAGATAATAAGCACTACAACCGTATTTCCAGATGCAGACAGGCACCTTCTACACCTGTGGGAAGCACGCAGAAGCCTCATAAGACGTTGGCGTAGGCAGAAACACAATCGCAAGCTTAGACTTCGCATCGCTCAAATAACGTTGCAAGCCGTACAATACGCAATAGAGCTCACGAGGAACAACTGGCACAACTTCTGCAAGTCACTTAATGGAATGCTAAGCACTGCGCGCACGTGGGTCATACTAACAGCCCTTGTTGACCTGAAAAGTACCAAGTTCTGCACGATCAGTACCATCCAAACACTTCTTCACAAGCAGGATGGGGACAACAGTATCTTACAGACGCCTCAAGAAAAACACATCGCTGCGGGCCCTTAACCAAAATATCAAAACTACCCATACACAGGGTCAGCACCGCCGGATGCTGATGTTACTGTGCACGAAGTTCGAGTTGCCCTTACTATCAAGTGCAACAAAGCACCAAGGAAATACAACAAGCAAAACTTTCTCATTCGAAACCTCAACGGTGACAATCTAGAACAGTTCACAGATTTTCACAACACTCACTGGAAATCCGGAACGTTACCCCAAGAATGGAGACATGTCAAAATAACACTGATTCCCAAGTCCGGCAAACCACTAGGACTTGTAAACCTGCGGCCAATCTCGCTGACGACTTGCCTCGGTAAATTAATGAAGCCCGTCGTCCTCCAAAGACTGCCACCATACCTTGAGGCCCAGGAATTTTTTCTAGACACACTGTTTGGGTACCGGGCTCATTTGTCCACGCAAGACATACTTCTCCAACTAAAAGAGGAAGTAATGGGCAGGCTCAGGCTTGCGCAAACTAGAGCCCTGCTTGCCTTGGACATCCACTGTGCATTTGACAATGCCTCGCATGACCTAATACTGGAGAATCTCGCATCGACACGGTGCGGACGACGAGTTTACGACTATCTGAAAGCATTTCTAACAAACAGGACGGCAACCATCGGGTTAAGCTCTCTTCGCAGTGACATCATCAAGCTCGCGGGTAAAGGCACGCCACAAGGATCTGCATACTCCTCACCTGATCTACCCCACGGCGTACAGAGATATATGCCCGTGGTGTGGAGCCACCCCAACACTCTTTCACATCACGTGGGAGTGTGCAGAGCACGACGAAGAACACTACTCCAATGGCACATGGGAGGAATGGGAGGCGCTGCTGTCTAGCCCAGCCCTGGTGGATCAGCTGCGACTGATCCACTGAGCTGAACGGATGGCTCGCGCCAGTGGGGCCCTGGAATAGGGGCACCACCCTGCCGGACAGACTTCGCTCTTCACCCTGTATATTCCTCGGGGCACAGGAGTTTTAGTCGGTCTGGATTATGTACATAATAAAGTTTTCTACTACTACTGCTACTGCTACTACGACTACTGCTACTACTACTACTACTACATGAAATAAAATGTTTTCTCTCTCTCTCTCGGGGGCAGCGAAACGACAGCAGCGCTGGACTTTGAGTGAGTGGTTCCTAGAAGAGAATTATTCAAGCTTTATTCCAAGATCTTTGGACTGAATTAGTTTGACGAGCTATTTAGTCTTGAAGTGTTTTGGTCGTTTAATGTATGCGATTGCATTGTTGCGCGTGACCTTGTTTGTGTTCGTTGTTCTGGGTGTATCCGATTGTATTTTGTAGTCTGTTAGTCCGTTGTTTGATTAGTGACCTATTGTATTGGAATATTGCCGAGAGTGCATACCTGTGTGTTCGTTTTGCCGCATTTGAGAATATATCTTTGTTTGGTTATAAACTCTCGGCTCTGATTCGTTTTTTGGACCACAGCTGGCGTTCGCTAGCGTGCCAAAGAGGACCACATCTATATTGTCTGTGCTTTCGAGGGGCGACACGGGGGGGGGGGGCTACTTCAGCCCCTGTAGTTAGCCCGGCGATTGCCTCCCCAATTAACGGGACTAGTGACACCGTGATATTCTGGATTATTATCGCAGTTCGAGCCGACTTTACCCTGGCCCCGCACGCGGTCTGGCGAAAGCAGGCGTACGACATGCTACGCCGCCTTCAGGTTAACACTTCCCTTAGTCCAGTGGTCACCCGGCACTTCATACCGGAAATCTCTGGCACGTGTCCAACTTGTCATGTGTTAGCTGACAACCTTGACGTTGTGGCTTTGTGTCCTGCAACTCCACTCCCTTTCTCACCCCCCTTCTCCATCCCATCTAGAGAGGCTTAGAAGAAGCACCTACTCGGTGGCTCTACCTTGGATGCGCAGCGCTCCTTGCTGGTGCGCGCTCGGGCAGCAGCGACCTCCAATGGTGCTCCGGACTAGGGACTGCCACTCAGGCGAACAAAAACTCTCTAGTTTATTTCAAAATACAAAGTTTACTACCTTCACCACCACCACCTGCGCTTAGTGTCTTGCACTTACGGCCCAGGCAGTGTCAATTGACACCACCGCACGACACTTCCCCTAGTATCTCGGAAACGCAACCAATACTACTCATTCTTGAGGACATAGTTCTTCAATGATCCCCACTGCAATTGACATCAATATTGCGGCACGTTTGTCGAGGTAGCAGTCACAAAGAAGAAGCGCGACCGAGGTTTTCCGTGAAGCCGAGGCGCGTAAGTTGAGGTGGGTAAGCGCCATTTTCGGGACGACTTACCGAAGCTGTTTCAGTGAGTATTAGGCTGAAAATTAAAACGTTGGTTTCCATTTTGTGTATACCATTGTTTGGCTGGAAAAAAAAGAAGCAATTTTTTTTCCTTTTCCAATCACTAGGCCCTAATCACATAATTTGACGCCACGTTAATTAATTCAAAAAATGCTTGTATGAGTGGCTCAATTTTTTGTTTGTGAGTCTTCTAAGGTCCTAACTACGAGAAAAACGCGCACAAAAAGTGTATCCGACCAAAATGAAAAATCCAGGGCAGAAAGGGCTCTTCCCACCTTTCACCGCCGCTAGTTCATGACACTGCGGCCCAACCCACGCTAAACCTTGCTAAAACCAGAAGAAATCAAGCACAGGGAGTTTAACGTGGCTACCCTTTCTGGTCATATGGTTCTCAAAGTGCGTCCTTCTGATACTATAAAGGAATCGAATTCGATGCAAACTTTATTAGAGGGCAAGTCACCGATACTCGCCTCTGTAGGTAATTTAATGAGAAACAACTATCTTGTTATTTATGATTAACGTGCATGGATGTCCTCCTCAATTCAAATGAGTGCACGCGTGCCACTTCTCTTGTCTGGCCGTGGAGGTGGCTACATTTTACAACGTCGCACTACTACTACTACTACTACTACTACTACTACTACTACTACTACTACTACTACTACTACTACTACTACTACTACTACTACTACTACTACTACTACTACTACTACTACTACTACTACTACTACTACATTGTGGACGCACGGGTCACGGCTTAAGGAGCTTCGCCCCTAAAAACGTCATCGCAGCTCTGCTAGTCAAGCATTCGTACCAGTCTGGCCGTATTTCTTCCTTGCGTGTGCAGCACAAGCCGGCAGCTATCAGTGATCACTCGTCACAACTTCACGCCCTGTGGTCACTGACAGGATCCAGCTGGAAGCGCGTTCACTGTGTCACAGCGCGAAGAAAACACATTAGGTTAACTATAGACAAGATATAAATGGACGAACTACGATGTACACCGCGAGACGCCATGGCTAGTGGGGTAAAATATAGAACCGTACAGCGTTGTTTGTTGAGCAACGCACATCCCACTTGCTCTTGTGTTGTGCAGTTTATGTTCATATCGGTAACCGTTTATTCTACTACTAATCTTGTTCTATATTGTTTCATTTACATCTATTCACCGTAGCAACTAACCCAATCATTCGCTTTTTTATGAAACTTTTGAACCGTTTAGGTGGCGCTCCAGGAACATAAGCGAGGAGGAAAGGGGAGGGTGTCGCTACCTTGGAAACTTGTTTTATCTGGGGACCTTACCTCGAAGGAATCTTCGGCGACAACGCTCCTCCTCTGCAAGTTTATGTACTGGCTGCAATTTCGCCTTTTCGTCAAGGCGAGAATCCGGCTGGAGCCTTATGCGCATGTGTACTCGTTTTGAACCTTTTGCATAATAATAAATAATACCACCGGCCATTTGCAAGATCATGTGCAAGGAATGCACCAATTACAGACGCGGATGGCGGAGAAAAGAAGGGGTAAGTGAGAGAGTGGGGAGAACGCCGTCGAGAACAATGAGTGACACTCCCTTGGAAACTTGTTTTATCTAGAAACTTTGGCGTCGCCAGATCGTCACGACGCGGCGGCGCGCGCTTTCATCTCCCTCGTGTACTTTGCCCCGCGGAGAGGGGATGCTCTCGCGGTTGGGACAATCGTAAACCTCGGGCTTTCACCGGAACGATTATGTTGTTGTTACAGGGCGCACAATGATCACTGGACTCGTTGCACAGTCTCCGTTTGCGAAAAGAGCGCGCTCTTCAGACACAGTGAAGTAACGACCGAGACGCTTATTCGCGTTCACCTGTACCTGCGAGTACGTTTCGTGCGTCATTTGTACAAGATAAACGCGAGGCACGTTTCAGTCACCTTGCCATTTTTTGCGTGACCTTCCAATTTGTTGCTATCGCGTTCACTGCATCGCCTTTGCGGCAAAGCAGTGATTTTTTTGCAGTTGGTCATTCCGTCGATGTAGTTTGTCGAAAGAGCAGCTATCTCTGCCTGTTTTTGAAACGAAATCACCAAGTCTCGTTTTGCTGTCTGAATTACGATATTTGGCTCCCATGTTCACAGGAACCTGTATAGATTGGCAGCGCTTTCTACGTTAAGAAAGTGTTACAGTAATTTAAAGTTTGTACCTTTAGCTGTTAGAAAAATGATGATGCCACGCACTCTCAGAGAATCACATTTATTATCTTATTGGCGGTCAATCACTTGTATTAAACAAATAAAATCAGGAACATGAACTGACACAAGTAATAAAAAACACAAAAACTGAAAAAAAAATCCAAAAAGTTATGCGAAGCTGTCGGACACTGCAGTCTTCGCTTGTGTGCCAGAGTCTGCTGATCACTCTTTTAGGAATCCATTCCCTCATCCGGAGCAACCTCATATATAGTTCGACTCACACCGATGAACAAGCGTAGTCCATTTGTATCCTCTATAAGGCTTTCTTCATTCAGATAAAACAGGATTCGCAAGAACACTTATAGAATACATCGTTCGGATGCCGACTCGACAAGTCCACACAGCTCCATGCTGTGCGGCCTTTTCATAAATTAAGAGATAGTTAGGATTCATGTTGCCAACCATAGGTGCGTGCCCAAGACCACGGGCTACGGCTGGTGTGTGCAGTCAAATAACCTTTGAAGGTATCAATCACGCCCCTATCTTGCATTCCAAACAAAACAGAAGAAGAAGAGAGCTGAGCAGCTGTGCTCAGGTACAACATGCACACACATCAAACACACAGAGACCGCCTTGTCTGTAAAGTGATCCACGGAAAATGACATTTGTTGAAATGTCACTATCTCGGTCTATAAAACTCGTATCTAAAATTGTGTTGTACGTTCGTACGTACGTGCACGTATATTACTAACACTGTTGAAAGCAGCAAAGAAATAGGTTGTGTCAACGTGTGAGTGTATGCATTAAATATTTCTGCTCAAGAAAATTCGAATGACAACATTATATTAAACTGGGCAATCTGTTACCATTGAGTTTAACCCCGCACAGCTCTCTCTCTATCTCTCTCTGTATCTCTCTTGCTAATAAGATCATAATCAACGTATTTAAACTTATTTATTGTTAGGATTTCAGTTTTGTGGCGCTCACGACAGCAAAAAAAAAATTTCGCAGTTCATGCAGTCTAATCTGCTTTGGTACTATAAGAGCCTCGCAGAAAATAAATGCTTATCACCGGTTTTGTAAGCGAAAGTTCACTGTGGACTTTAGCCAGGACTTTCTTGTGAAATCACTCATTTTTCCGCTACACTGGACCGTATGAGAACCTCTTTTATATTTTCAGCTCAATAATTCTGTAACACTATACTCTTACTGCTACAGCCGGCAATCGTGCTTTTCAGTAGCGCTTAGATAAAGGAATATTATGTGTATTCACAAATCATTAAGTGGTAAATTTTCAATTATTAAACTGTGTTGCAGCGAACTGATTGATCTTGCATCTTGTATGAATAAAAATGAAGCATATACTGGTTCCAGTGGCAGCGAATATTAACTCCACGTGTTCAACCCTACAGACCGTACCTAAATGCCCCCTTGAAGGCAAGACTGCGTGTTACAACCGCAGGGAAATGTACACGGGGGCTCAAAAGTTCCCAGGCCATGCTGGCATAGGAATACATATAGGATAGTGGGCCTGGGAACTTTTTACCAGCCCTGCACTTCTTGACGATTCCCGTGGATCTCACACCTTTAATTTCCGATCTCTACGCCGCGTTCACTATATTTAGCTTCGTCACTTCACCAGTTACGATTCAACGTAACCAACGATACTGTTTTACGGTCGTCCATACTATGCATTCCACGAAGGCTAACAATCCGCCTTTCGTTTTTTCGTGGGGCCACACCTCATGCGTCCTTCCTCCAGAAGGAAATTCGCGAATCGCTATGGTAGGATCTCCGCACTCATTTCAGTCTTGGAGGCTTTTGTCCTGGCGATGCCAGTTGGTGATGCCCTCCATCGAACGACAGAGGTCAGCGCTGGCAAATGAAAAAGGCAGATTGAAGAACTGCATCGGGATTTCACTGCCACATATTCTACATCTATACTGCTCTCACTGAGCTCGTGGACTATGAATACTCAGCAGCACCGATCTGTCCGTAGCGATGGCACTGCGTGTGGTCAATGGGCGAAGCACTGAGGCAGTTCAAGGATCTTGCACTGAGTCCCAGCTCAATCGTCCAAGGAAGGGCACGGGAAGGACAAGGTACACGGGGCGACGCACTTGCACGCACACTTCTCGTATAGTTCGTGCTGTCGCTTCACGCGCACACTTGGCTCTCGTCGATCCGAAGCAGTCTGTCTTTCTCTGCAAGACGTGGTGCACTCCTTGGGGCAGTACTTCACTCAGGAATACATGGTGTGGTGAGACGCCGTCTTGTAGTATGGCGTGACCTGGCCGTAAATCTCTCTCTTCTGCGTCTCGTACTCGTACGGGTTGTGACTCTGCGAAGGCGTAGAGGCGCGAGTTAAGACCAGCAAGAAGGCTTGAATCGGTGACGACTAAAAACACGACTCTGTATGCTGCCCAAGACCGATATTTGAACAGCGTGTATGGCTCTCAACTTAGCAACACGTTCATGAGAATTCAAATTTACCACTGAAACATGTTCGCTTCCGGAGCGACAGTCATCGAAACAAGCGACAGCCATAATTAGTCCTAACAAGCTTTCTGAATGTGCCTTTGGTCACTGCCAGATTCTTTCTTCCGGGACCTGTTCACATGGAAGGCCCATGCTTCTCACCCACGCTTAAGTCCAGTTTGAAAATTACACTGTTTTTGAAATTTCAATGTAAAGTATTTTTTATCTGACCGTGTTAATGGTGAAACACAATTAAGGGTAAACACTATGACAAAATCAGTATCGAAATTAATCTTCCTTCTGCACACTGACAACTTCCCTGCGATAAAAGTTTGTGGCTGTCAGCTCATTTTTCGTTCCTGTGCGTTTTCATGGTTTGTTAACAAGAATGAAATACAGCAAACAATAGAATTAAAATGACGGTATTTGACGGGCCGACACTTTTTACTCGTAGCGGATTAGTAGCGATAAATGACAGCAGAATAGTCAGATAAGCTATTGTGGCATGTAGATCTAGTACATATATAGCGATCAGCGCAGATGACATTCCCGTTAGCTTGAACTGATTCGCCTAGGGGATACTGTTAGTCACCGCTACGCACATTTAACTGGCCGTACGAATAGCTTAACTGCGAATGCTGCCAAGTGTGTGAAACAACAGCACATATATTCTATAACAGCCCACTTGACCTGCCACAACGGAAAACTCTGATGGGACTCGCCGTGGTTGCATTTTGCCAGCAATGTGTGATCAGACAATCAACAACTGCAACTATAGGGCATACTTAATTTTCTTGGTAGCGCAAGACAAGACGCTAGACTGTAGCGAAACCACTGTGCCACGTCGTTATTGTATACACGCATCCCCATCAACACTCTTCATCACTTTGTCTTTCTTTCCTTTTTCTCCTGGGCAGAAGCGAACTAACTCAGACCGACCTCTCTACCTTCTCTGTGTTGGGCGCTGCCGATACGCTCTAGCCTATATATTGCATGGTTTACCGGTGGCGGGCCATACATGGCCCCTCTGGAGCGCGGCCTCTGGATGTGGCTGTAGTGGTTCTCTTCAGGGGGGCTCGGACTGCGCACTCGATTGGGAGTAGCAAACACCGGTGGTGTCTTAGGCGGTGCCGTGGCCTCGGGTTGCTGCAAAGTACAGGTACATGCACTGAACCTGAAGAGACTCATTCAAGTGATTTAACATCATAGTTGTCATAAGGCCTGCTGATCTTGCTCTCCCAAATAGACCAGATGTCGCTTGAAACAGTCGAAGCTGGGACAAGTTGTTGTTATGGGCACATTAGAAAGCGTTCTTTGCATCTGTTGATCCTGTGCCGCTTCCTGTTTTAGTACGTGCTGTTAATACCTTGTAGTAGACTGGCTGTTGTTTTGAGCTAAGAACGACTGGAGACATCCTTCTGAACTATCATAAAATGACCTTACAATTGGGCTCTATGGTCTCTAGCATATCTTGCCACATTTATTATTTTTTCCCATGTCAACAAAGAGTAGGCACGAAACTAGAATTGCTTTCTCTCTTTTCGTCGCCACAAGTTTGCTGGAAGCTACACAGATATGGGGAAAGGGGATGGCAAGTGGGCGCAGATTCTGCCAGTTATAGAGCTTGAAAGCTACTAGCTTTTCTAGCTCAACACTGCACATCGCCTTGCTTAAAAAGCCTGGAACATGATCTTTTCTGCATATGGTTTAGACGTGCGCAACGTCGGCACGTCGCCTAACAGATGGTCCGCTTAACCACCATTCATCATATTAGTTGTTACCCGTTGTTACTTTGTTCTACTAAATGCTGTATAGTTGATAACGACATTAGCGAGCACAAATTGAACAATTTTTGGCTGTTTTGGACACGAAGACGGAAGGCAGCTCCCTGCTTGGTGGCACGCAATAATATATGGTTCACACGTTCACATGAGCGTAGGCGACACATGCGGTTGCATGTCTTTTCTATGTTCGAAAAGCGTGGTAGGGTTTCGTTAACTGGCAACGAGATGCTTGCCAGTGATTAATATACTGATAGTTTAAGTCGTGGTAAGCGCGAGATATAGTGCGTATTAGTATCGGGAGGGAGGAACGATTGATTGCTATGTGCGGTTTAACGTCCCAAAACCACTATATGATTATGACAGACGCCGTACTGGAGGGTTCCAGAAATTTCGATCACCTGGAGATCTGTAACGGGCATCCATATCGGAGCACACAGGAAAGAAGCAACAAAGTATGCATTTGATGCTGCCAACATCCGTTTAGGTAGTGGCTCACGTAGGCATAGTAGGTGCTCATTAAACTATAGATTATTTTAACCCTGCTGTAATTTTGCGCTTTATCAATACCCCCTGTTTCGTTGATACACAAATTTACTTCGTACTCGAAATATCAAGACCATGACTTACAGCCCATGGAACGAGTTTGATTTTCTCGACATTGATGTAATTAAAAGAGAAACGTGAAAGAATATATATATATATATATATATATATATATATATATATATATATATATATATATATATATATATATATATATATATATATATATATATATATATATATATAATTATTTATTTATAGACGCGTGCACGTGTAAGAGGTCCGTAGATGCAGACACAATATGCTGCACTATAATAGAGTACCATGCGATAAAAGCTTGACTAAGTTTATCGTATAATTATCGGAGCAGGAAACGTTAGATATACTGGTTCAACACTGTAATTCACTGCTCTCTTCCAGCGAGATTGCGCTGTAAGCAAACAGTTCTGATAAATCGTTTCATCATTAGTATCCTTAAAGTATCTGCGCGTTAAGAAAAGGCAACCTATTCTCTAAAACATTTAAAAAAGTCTCGCCGTATGACTAGTACTAATAATAGGGCAGCAAGCCTTAATTATAGTGGTGCAACTCTTTCGTCAGCTTCTCGCTTACACTGCACGACGTTCTCATAAATCTTTTCATCATTAATTTGTTTTAAGAAGATCAGCGATAAGTCGAAGTAAACTACCGATAAGTACGTTTGAAAGCAGCCCGCTACATCAATATTGTAGTAGAATCAAACGGAGAGTCGTTACCACGTATATGTTGCCCATGGCGTCGGCGATGTGCTGCCAGCGCAGCCTGTCTTCGACGCTGACTCGATAGGCCGGCCCCAGCGTAGATGCCTTGCTGAGATAGCCGAGACTGCCGACCGAGTGGGCCGACATCACTTCCGCCTTGTGTTGCTCGCGCTTCCAGCGACGGCTGCGTACAAACGTGAGAGACGATAATGAGCATTTACGCGTCACCTGCGGCATTTCGTATCTGCCGATTCTATCGGTATCGTTTCGTCACCCACGCTGTTTGGACTGTGGATCGGCGCCTTTCGCGCAAAAACTAGCCGACCGCGTTGCATTGCTTACGGTTAGGTGTGCGAGCACGATGCGAGGCACAATCATTAGTGATAAGAAAACACGCTTATCAGATGAGAACGCTCGCTGTAACAGCATAGCAACGGTTGTTCGTTTTTCACATGCCCTGCTGGATCGCTGTTTCGCGACGATGCGTTTTCTCAAGCTGGCGTCTTTTCGCTCTTCGTAAACGGTCAGAGCGAGACCCTGTCCACGTTATCAGTGATATCAGTTGGCCGTGAACGGCATAGAATCGAAAAGAAAGAGCCGCTATAACACACCGGCTTCGGTCTATGAAATTCGGCACATCACGTTGCTAACCTGAGAACGTTATCAATAGAGTCTCGCTTTATTTATCAGTCACGGTGACGAGACTCAATGACTAGGCATTTTATGCGAGTAATCGCTGCTTCAATTCCCTCCCTGGCGGTTGCAGTACGACCGGGACAGATGTAAAGAAACGAATGTGCCTGGAGACTGCGGTTGACCGAAGCCTAACGTCTTCAGTGCAACCAGAGCGTAAAGTTTTCGTGTTTATAACGCCGCTTTAGTTACATATGTGCGCCGAGTAAACTTACTTCCAAAGGCACAGGCAGACGAGGGTGAGAACGATGATGATAACGGCCGTAATCGAGGCCCCCAGCGCCACGCCCAGCACTTCTCCGTCGATGTCGCACCTGGAACCAATGTACTTTCCGCGGCAACTGCACAGTGAATCCAGACACCGACAGAGGTGAACATTTGCTTCGTGACAAGACCTGCCAATGAGGTGAGATGTGACTAACCCCCGTATTCACAAACGCTCCTCGACTCGACTTTTACCCTTCACCTGACAGAGTTGAGCACTGCGCCGCTACTCGGCTGAAGATGACGCTGCGCTACTCAAGAATAGCAACAAATTATCACTGATATGCAGTGACTCGTCCTGCATACAGATGGCGCTCCCATCGGCTTTCTCAAATGAAGGTGGAGCGTTGAGTAATGGGCATTCTACAATACGGGGGTAAATATTTAATTGCTATTGACAGAGACCAATCAAACCATCATGGGTTACCACAATTAGTACAAGCTCACGTCCGTTGCATGACAGCGATTGTTTCATTTCTTAATGCAGACTTGATCTGCAAGCACTTGACATGAACATGAATGTCGTCACTCGTTTTGGTGCATGCGTGAGATAAATTTAATATTGATGATGCATCCATCAGTGTTTCCTTGGTTTCATGATACTTGTTGAAAATACTCAACTGGCTGTCGTAAGTTCTAAGGCTTTACTTGATGGCTTTTTACTTTTAATAATAAAAAAAGTTGCTGAGAAAGTAACATCAGGTGTATATATTGCCAAAACCTGACGTAAATAATAAATGACGTGGCCGGAGCTCGTACCTGCATTCGCGTTGTCCATTGGCGATGCGGCAGTCACCTCTGTTGTTGCAGTAATCCGGTGCGCAGGCTAAGTGGAGAGAAAAATAAAGGCGGAAGGCATTGTCAGTCTGCTGAGCAGAAGTGTCATCGCAATAATACATGGATGTCTCGATCGATGTCATCCTGTGCTGTTAAGGCTTCATTGCGCAATTCATATATAGCTGCATGGTCATGGTAGTTGCGGCAAGGAACATTATTTTGCATGTAAAGGGAAACATTGGGAACGTTGCTTGATTGTAGACTTGCGTTACTTTGGTGGCTCACTGAATGAATTTGGCATCAATTTAATTGTTTTATTTTTTACCATTGGAGGGCAGGTTAATTAGCTCTGTAACTGCAGCATTGTAACTCTGTGTGATATTCTGTGTGCTAATTTTTTCCCCTTTGCATACCTCACATATTCGCACATAACCCATAGAGATATAGATCATAGTGTGCGTCGATGAAGAACGTTTCTTTTATTCTATTTCAAAAAAAAAATAATATCTGAGGTTTCACTTTCCAAAACCGCGACGTGGTTACGAGGCACGTCATATGCGGAGGACTGCGGAAATTTTAACCATCTGATGTTCTTTAGCGTGCACTGACATATATCGCAGCACGCGGGTAGCTACCATTTCTCCTGAATCGATCAAAATGCTACCGCCAACAATGGTATTGAATCCGCAACATGCGGGTCAGTGGCAAAATAGAAGCTACCCAAACCACATCTTCGTCCTGCGTCGTATTGGTATGCCTATCCGTTTCGCGGGAAAATCCCAACACTTTTTCCTGAGTGGCGTTGCGGTGCTCTGACGCAGTGTGTCCCAGATCTCTAAAAACCACTCGCCCTATTGCGGTTTCAAAAGAAGCCCCAGCGTATACGTTTTTAGACGTCCGCAAGAGGGAGCGTCTAAATACGCCAACAAATATGCCAACTAGTGCGATGCCTAACGGCCGAAGCACAGCGTTATCTGACACACATATCGGCTGCCTATACGTATACAGCCACGTCATCAGTGGCCCTAATGGTAGGCGCAGTGTCAAAACTTTCGCTGACCTGTGCAAGTCCTGCCGCTCTTCCACTTTGTGTCCGGATACTTGTCCGTGTAGCCCGCTTTGCAGGTGCAACGGAACGTGCCGAACACGTTCTCGCAGATGGCGTTTTTGGAGCAGTCGTTGAGAGCCACGTCGTTGCACTCGTTCACGTCTGCGAGCGCGGAAGGAAATGTAAATACCTCATTGGCGCTATTCGTATCTGTATTCGTGGCAAAGAACGCTATTGTACTTTGTAGAGCGGGACTTTCAGTGATCGAATACGGTATGTTCGTTGTATCGGGAGAAGCCATATGTATAGACAGAGGTAGTCTTGTACCTGTTGGAATTCCATTAGGAAAGACAGTCAGCATACAGCGCGATACCACAAGGAAAAGAAAGAAGAAACCATGATAACTATTCTGTATGCTGCGCTTTGTTCTACCTTGTTTTTTGTTTTGTCCTCGCCCTGTGTATTTACAGTACCGTTCATATCGCTGGTGCTACCACCGTGCCAACTATTTGCTATGTGCTATGGAGGCGTTGGTTCTCTCTTTAGAACTATTCAAATGGGCCAATACTTTTTGTAGTCTTCGTTAAACAGCCATAACAAATGCTGGCATTGCGCTTCTGATTCTTCACTACAAAGATCTCCGTGTTACCAATTTGCAGTCTCCTTACTGATCTACTGCTTTATCGCTATTTCATCCTCGATTATTTCATATATTTTGATTTTTTTAAGTCTTGTCTACCAAGTTTGGCAGTTTATCATAATCATTCTAATCTAGATGCTTATGGCTTTCAACTCCTCCTGTTTCCTTTTTTTGATATTTTGCCACTCTGGATGAATCGCTTGTTTCGTTCCTTGATGTCGCATGTCTAACTTCAATTTCAGTCTCTGAAATCACCTTATTCATTGACTCTGTTCTAGGCTCATGCTCGCGTTTTAATGTCTCATATTTCTTTTGCGCGTGTAAACCTGAATTTTCCCTCTCTATAGCTGCTGCTGTAGGTCGACCTGTCATAAGGTTCTAGCAGGTCACTTTTACAACGTAGCACAGACCTACTGGAATTTGGCCTTCCATAGTCTCTGTTTTACTCAGTAACAGCAACCCAGACTAAAGAAGTCTATGTTGCAAAGCACGTATGAACTATACGTGAGTATGCCAATAGTGTGAGACATCACAGGCGAAACCTGTTTACGGTGAACTCACCGTCTACTGCAAGGCCCGAGTTGAGTAGGCCGTCTACGTAAAGCCTGCTCTCTCCGATGTTTGAATTGCGACGGTTGATCATGTTGACCACCTCGTGCTGCAGGACGCGCTTCACCGAAGGCACGCGGGTGATGTCATTGTCCTCCAGCTGCACGGTAGCGTTCATCATGATCTTGCTGCCGGCGGACTGGAACCTGTTCACTGTCGCGTCCACGAACAGCCGCGAGAAGCTGGACTTGCTGAACAGGCTGTGCAACTGCAATACAACATGATACACGAAAAAAAAACAATAAACGTTTGAACTCTATTACGGGGGATGACCAGCGAAGTGGTTTCGCACATGACACAGTGGTGACGCAGAATTTCGAGCCGCATAGCCGATCCCACACCCCGCAACTAAATCCGTAATGTTTGTCCAAAAAGTCCCACCTAAATTTAGCTTACACTTATAGTTTTCCATTTGAGCCGCATGCGTCTTTTTGGCGCAACATGCGTCGTCTCGCCTGGCTTGCCGCATGATCTTAGCGCTACATTAACAATCTCAATTGGTGTTCGCCACCTGCGTACACAGTTCATTCTTCATTCTTAGTGAACTAGCGTATAGTAATGGGGTTTTCCCGCAGCACATAGCTGCGCTAGAAGTTCTCGCACATGAACGGACAAATCCCATATCCATATATAGCTTCGCTCTAAAACAGACGACGAATTAATTATACATAAAGTAAGCAGAGATGCGTTAAATTTAAGATTTGCTTCAGCATACTGGGTTTTTTTCTTCAAATACGTTTACTCCGCACGCTTCTTTGATGATACTTCCAACGTTTCCACTTCAATTTTCCGCATCAGGCAGCTATCTATAGGTCACGCGGAATATTTATATATCAAGCACGCATGAAATATATAAAGTTCCTTCAGCTGATTGTAATGCAGCACGTTTGATGACGTCACGATGGTCAGTTACTGCCCGTAACAGCTAATTCTGTGAACGCTGTTCAGTGAAACATTGACACGGGGTCGTGACGTCGACGAAGGGAGGAGACTGTAGGTCGAAGATGAAACTGTTTATTCGGCCGAACCTGTGGCTGGTCAACGAAAAGTCGGGATACAGCGATACCCAAAGCACTGATGGCGGCGAACAGAGCGTCGGCCGTCGACCAACTGACAAGCGGAAAAGCGCGTCGGCATTTATGCACGTGCCGTCGAATATTCTAGCGTTATCGCTAGCCGCCGCGTAGGTTCCAGAATGATCTGTCATGTTCGCGAAGTGGGCGTAATTTTAACAAAACGATCTGCCACAGCCTTGAAACTTCTCGAACACTGCAGGCGTAGTTTGCGCTGAGATTTACTAAGAGCGTAACGGGGCGATAACAAAACACAACAAAAACCACACAACTTTTCCCCTAGTATTTCGGAAGCGTAATCAATACTGCTTATTCTTGGGGGCATAGTTCTTCAATGATCCCCACTGCAAATGACACCAATATTGCGGCACGTTTGTGGAGGTAGCAGCCACAAAGAAGAAGAAGCGTGACCGAGGTCTTCCGTGAAGCCAAGGCGCGTATGTTGAGGCGGGTAAGCGCAATTTTCGGGACGACGTACCGAAGCTGTTTCAGTGAGTATTAGGCTGAGAAGTAAGACGTTGGTTTCTATTTTGTGTGCACCATTGATTGGCAGAAAAAAATAAGCCACTCTTTTCACTTTCAATCACAGGGCCCTAATTAGCTAATTTGATGCCACGTTAATTAATCCGAAAATGCTTGTACCAGTGGCTCAATTTTTTTGTTTCTGGTCTTCTGAGGTCCTAACTATTAGAAAAACGTGCACAAAAAGTGTATCTGACCAAAATAAAAAATCCAGGGCTGAAAGGGTTAAGGAAGGATTGTGGCAATATAGAGAGAGTATAGTTAGCCAATGCAAACCTGTTGAGACAGTCATCATGTATTTCTGTGCTATAATTATTGCGTTCTGCGCTATATGCTTGCCGACAATGATACCATTGAAATTACAACACTGCATCTACGTACCACAACTATTTTTACGGTAGTCCTTCTATATTAAGGAAAGACAGAGAGAGATAAAGAGAGGGTGGGGTGAACTGGGCTTACCGCTTGCTTTGCTTCATACTCGAGCAACTGATAGTCCTCCGATTCCGGATTTCTGTAGTTTCTGTTGAATACCAGTTTCTGGTCTCCGAGCCTGTCGAGCTTCAATGTTAGTCCGACGTTGACAACAGCTGCGAAGGTTCGTTACAGACATTGTTATCGGGCATCACTTCGTTGAGGTTCACATAAAGCTATAGTGAAAGACAGTGAGACACAATCAGTATGTCGAAGAGCCAACAATCTCACTTTAAACGATATAATTTCATGATACTTGAAAGACGAGCATGTTAGAAGTCAGTGACAGGTGCTGCTGGTATTCAAAGTGTCATGACGTCAACAACTACTACAATCAGCCATTCTGGTAGAATATCCCAACGATGGATTGAAACCATGTAATACCAGTTAGCTCCGCAGTTTCGATTTTATGGTGTCATCGAGTTGAGAAGATTTTTTGCTCAATATCACAATTTTGATAGTTTTCTTCGCAGCAAACATAAATAGGTTTTCTATCTGGTTTGATGCTGGTTAATGAGTATAAGAATTTTCAGGCTCATGATGCTACGCCACGTTGTGGAGTTATGCTTAGAAATCTGTAATTTTCGCTGAAAAAGGAAAAGAGGGGGGGTGGAAAAAAGGATGGCACTTACGACTGCAAGGCCCCCTGGGTACTGTCCTGGTGAAGCCCGGCCTGCAATGGCAGGAACTAATGCCAAGTTCGGCCTTGCACCACTCGTTCAACTTGTGAATCGCACGTCGAGTCGTCGCCCACGATGCAGGTGTCGATTCTGGAAGAAAATAAAAGTATCTGTGTATTTGATCACTTCTCTGTACCTGCCGACTGCTCAAACAACCATCTGGTTCGCGTTTCGAATGCTTGAACTTAAAATACTCAAAACAAACGTGTGTGGCTCGTATAAGCCTTATACAAATTTTAGCACCCATGTTTAAGCGTTTGATCACTGTAACTAATTATAGACTTATTCGCTGATCACTGTGGCTATGCAGTTATGAATCGTCCTTCAACTTACACAAGATATCGAAAGAAATGTCTGCATTACGAACTTCAAAGTACACAGATAGCACACCATAATAACTCCAGAAAGTTTTAAGCTTTTAGAATATTTCCTCTTAGTTCATTTGCATTTTGCAGATATATTTTTTCTTGCATGTATTGTCTGTATAACCATGAGCTTGCACGTCAAATTGCACCACATGACGACGATTGTGCTACGTGTACATCTAGCCGACTTACTCTTTTAATTTTTTAATCAGAAAAAAAGGGTGCTATACGTCAGCTCAAGAGAGAATTAGCTTCTGTTCAAATATTGAGAAGGTTAAATTTGGGATTAAAACGGCACACACATACCTCACCAAGGTAGTGTTGTGTTTTGGCCGATAGCCAGGTCTTCTTCGTGGAGGAGAGCCCGGCTTCGAGGTAGACTTGCGCGTTGGGCCTGTTGGTTCTTTAGGCCTTGGGCGGGATGTACTTGCACCAGGTCTCTGCGGTCCGTGGCCGTCCGGTGGTCTTGGAAAGCCATGAGACAACTCCGGGGGAAGTCCTATCACTGGCCTCACATCTTCGATCTCCACCGGTATCACTATTGGTCTTCCCGTGGGTGACTGATTATACTTCACTGGTGGCCTTGTATGGGTCACCTCTGGCACGAGTGTCCCCTTCCCGGATAGTGTCATCACCACGTCAGATTCATTTTCCTTTGTCGCGTAGGTGTTTGTAAGTCCAGTCGTCGAGGTTGAACGGATACTGGGCTGCAGCGTAGTTGTCGGGCCTGTCGATGGCGTATTGTCTAGCTTCGGTGTTCCGTATATCACCTCTGGCTCCCTGCCTGCATTTGAAGTCTTCGAACCTTGCGGTGAAGGCGGTGGTTCTGCTTGTGCGTTGGAAGCTTCTGTACCCTCAATTTCATCACTGTCGGGAGAGTTGCTTTCTGTACTCGTTCCTACTTCTACCGATGGTGTCGTGGTCGAGAACGTTGGTCGAATCGTCTGAGATGGAGTCACGACGTTGCTTACGGTTCCGATCGAATGCATGACGGTAATGTCGAAAACGGATGGCTCAGGTGGGTTCCGTAATAATTTCAGGCTCCTCGGCCGTATTGAAGCTTACTCTGGAGCTGTTGGCTCTGACGGAAGAGTCTAAGAATACAGGGAGCCAACCCGACACAGGTCCTGATGGAACTTTACCAGATGGTTCCAAATCAGTTTCCGTCCTCGTAGGTCTCACGTCGTGCCTGTCGTCTCCCCCGTGTCTCGTCTCCTCGACGTGGACGTTGCCACTCACGCTTGTCGGTGTTACTTGTTCGACCGGTGACGAAGACACTGGCGCCTCGTGAATGAGCACGATGGTGGACTTGCTGTGAGGCAGGTGCTCAGTAGCAGTTGCCATAACTTCTGGTCCGTTGTCACGAACGGTCTCCCTGTGCATGGTCGGCTGCTCGGGTTCGTTGTTGGCCGGAGGGAACTCGGACAAAGCGGGCGTAGCCTCGTGCTGGTCCGGGTCGTGCGCACCATGCGGCAGCGGCGGTGGCTGTTGGTGGCCGTCGTGGTGCTGGGGCCGCTGTTGTCTGTCGGGGTCGTTGAGTCCCAGCAGCTGACTCACGTCCGACGGCGTCGGGTAGACTGTCGGTGGGTGCGGCAGAGGAACGATGTGTATGTGCTGCTGCGGATGGTGCGGGTGGTTCGGATGGTTCACCGGCGGGAAGTGGAAGTTGGGCGGTGGCGGCCGTGGGATCGTGTCAAAGTGACCCGGGTGGGGCGGTGGCAGGTGTGGTAGGCTCGGCCTCGGTCGCGGTGGTGCTGAATGCGGCGGGTGTGGAGGGTGCGGTGGTGGGTGGGGCGGGTGTGGCGGTAGCTGCGGCGGCCGATGTGGGGGTGGCGGGAAGTTGAAATTGGGGGGACCCCGGTTGTTGATCCTCGAGGGCGGCTTGTGGTGATGATGCTGTTGGGGAGAAGGTGGTGGCAGAGGAGGAGGTGGCAACCGCATTGACGGAGGTCGAGGGAGGTTCATGTCGCCACCAAGAAGTTGGATGATGCCGCTGAGGATGTTGTCAATGGACGGGTTCCCGCCACTGCCGTTGCCGCCACCCCGAGTCCTTTCGGTGGCGGCGGCAGCGGCAGCTGGGGATACGGGCGTCTCCTCTCGGCTAAGGCTGTGGTGGACCACGTGTGCCGGCGTGGCGCTGGACGGCTGAATGCTGCGCAGGACACGAAGCGAGGCCTCTTCGGTGTCGTCGTCCAGCTGTGGTTCTGTTTCGGCAGGTCCCGAAGTAAATGACGGTAACGTTGTGACTTCGGCCACTCGCAACTCTGTGGCCGATATCACGCTGTCAGTACTCATAGGAACAGTGGGTGCGCCGTCTTGTTCTCCTTGGTTGTTTGACTCTGATGATGATGAGATAAAGCTGATACCTCGCTCCTGCTCTGCGTCGCCGGATGTCAGGGATGGTGCTGATGGGTGAGCCACGACCCTTTGATTGCTTTGACTGGTTCCCTCAGCACGCTTTGTCGATGTCTGGAACTCATCTGCCACAGTTGCCACTACAGATGGCTCATTCGTAACAGGGTGCTGCTTGCGTTCTGAATCGTCCGAAGTAAAGTCCCTTTCCTGAGATCCTTCTGTACGCAGCACCAATGGCAGTTTAGATGTTTCGGAAAGTGTGGTGACAGACGCTGTATGAACACTTGAGAAAGAACTTGAAAGTTCTAGTGAAGTTGTGCCATTAATAATAAAGAAATACTCGAAGTGACTGGCCTTAAAAGCTTTGGCGTGCTTTCACTTTCTTGACTATGTGTTGATGAAGTGGATGACTGTGCGGAAACTGCTGCTATGTCAGCTTGCCCTGAAAACAAAAAGCAAAATGAACAGATGTAGGATCGATCGCTTTATCTCCGTGGCATATAATTAAAAAAAATTACACGCCGACATTACTCAGTGCTGGTTGAAGCTAACAATAGACATGTGAATGACAGTTTGTATCTTCTGATTGATTGATTGATTGATTGATATGTTGGGTTTAACGTCCCAAAACCACCATATGATTATGAGAGACGCCGTAGTGAAGGGCTCCGGAAATTTCGACCACCTTAAGTTCTTTAACGTGCACCCAAATCTGAGCACACGGGCCTACAACATTTCCGCCTCCAACGGAAACGCAGCCGCCGCAGCCGGGATTCGAACCCGCGACCTGCGGGTCAGCAGCCGAGTACCTTAGCCACTAGACCACCGCGGCGGGGCAGTTCGTATCTTCTTATCAGCTAAAAGTTTCGTTTATTGCATGACAATAGCGCAAAATTAACTGGAAGACAGATCAGCAGGGAGAAATACCTGATGAAGGCCAGACTCTTGGCCGAAACGTCGAAATAACCACGTTGTGACCGCTCACGGAGGATCTACTTGACTATATATAGATCCTCCGTAGATCCTCCGTAGTGTATATATAATATAAATATAATATATATATATATATATTATATATATATATATATATATATATATATATATATATATATATATATATATTATATATATATACGTCACGTGCTACTTTCAAACGTCGCGAAGAACACTTAACGTTTAAAACACATTTTCCTCTCTGTGTCCTGAAACAGGCTTGCGTTTCTTCGAAGAAGTATTTCGGGCTGGCTTTTTTTTTTCAAGTTTCTGATGAGTGTGACTTAGATGGAACTCGAAGCACAGATACCCCACCACAGAACAACCTGTCAGAAAACCACACATTAAAACAACAAAACAAAGGAGCAAGTCCGGGATTTTATTTGGCGCTTGGCTGCTCACAGATGTTTTTATTCGCCTGCGCACAGAACTAGCGAGAAAAATTGCCGCAACTTGACACTGTGACGGTGACGTGCACTCACTTTGGGCTGCGCAAGTGTGGATGGCCATTGCCCTTTACCAAATGCTGGACGTTGCCATAAGGAGAGATAAAGGTCGGGAACCTTCAGCACTCGGTAAAGGGCAGTCAATGGCCATCCACACGTCGCAATGTACGGATTATCGTCAAGTGCTGCTTATGAAACATACCATGCAGCTATTTTTTTATCCACTGTGGAAGTCGCAGCTGTCTGGTCAGGGTGGTTTAGGATGACTGATAAACCACAGTACAGACTGTACTATCTGCGTCAAATGCAACCTGAACAAATACAAGCCTTCGCGATCCACTTATCCACCGTCCACTTATCACCATGGAAAGGCGCGCATATATAAATGCGCAGAGCTGCCGGACAGAACGTGTGCGTCTGTCATTTGTGATAAGTAGGCGCTGCGCACAATACCATTGCGAAGGCTTGCCGCTGTTCGGGTTTCATTTGAGAGAAGAGAGATTATTGCGGCGTAAAAGCTGTGAGGTCGGCCTGAATCTATAGCCTGCTACTCAGCGTTAGGAAAGGGGGGGGGGTAGGAAAGACAAGAGAGAAAGAATATGTTGTTGATGATGAGGAGGAAGGTGACGATGAAGGAAGACCTTGGATTAATATATAGTCTCTTGTCGAGTTCTGTATAGTAAAAACTTGGTCAGTGCTTTCAAGGACGGAAGGAAAATAGAGGGAAAAGAAAGGCAAGGAGGCAGTGCTTTCAAAATATCGCACTGATGAGGAGGTGGTGGTCCCAACAGAACTTTTTCGGAAACTTGCCGATCGGTACATTTTGCATCAAGACGGTGGCCATCGAATTTCTTTGGGCGATATATCGTGGACAGACGCACAAGATATCTGACGCTGATAGTGCGCCATTTAGGCACAAGTCACGGCTACTTAGACGACTGCAAACCCTCAGACACCGTTAACGATTTGGGCAGTCTGGCAACGTCCCGCCTACACCCAGGGAAGACCTGCGCCTCCCTATTGCACATTAAAGGTGTTTACGACCATCTGTCTTCTGACGAAACATGACTGAAAGAATATCAGATAAAAAGAAATAGAGAAAAGGAACGGGAGTGAAAACGTTGCAATGCAGCACGGGTAGATAATCGAAAAGCAAAGTGACGTAGCGAAGAGCAATAAAACTCCCTCCCACCTGGATTTCGCTGAAAACTGACATTGCGTGCGCGTTTTTGCACAGGCAATGCTTGTCGCAAGCGAGGCGCACTTCTTTTCTTGTTTTATTCGTTTAACCTGGTGTTTCCTAAACGAGTGTGCCCGTTCGTATTCCTTTCTTCGGTAACGTAAGAGAGAATCACTGGCACGACACCGATTGTGGAAGCAACGGGGACACTCAATGGCACCGCGTGTTCGCGCGTCTACGTATCTGTGTACGAATTTGTGTCCGTGCACGGCGTTAAAGCACGCACACTTGAGAGATTGAGAGAGAAAGAGAAAGAAAGAAAGAGAGAGAGAGAGACTCATAAAAGAACGATCGCACTCGCCGTGGCCTAGATGGGCCGCCATATACAACGCCACAGATCGTGCAGCGTGCATGACTCATATGCGCGTCTGGATGCAGCGATGCCTGCTGCCAGTGTTTCACTCTTGAACCGTTTTTTTTTTTGTCGTTTGGCCCAGATGTATGATACGTGTCGTCTTCGCTGCCGTTTTCTATACGTTTGTTTGCTCTTAGATTCCATTGTTTATGCGCGTCTGGATGCAGCGGTGCCTGCTGCCAGTGTTTCACTCTTGAACCATTTTTTTTTTTGTCGTCTGGCTCAGATGTATGATACGTGTCGTCTTCGCTGCCGTTTTCTATGCATTTGTTTGCTCTTAGATTCCATTGTTTATGCGCGTCTGGATGCAGCGATGCCTGCTGCCAGTGTTTCACTCTTGAACCATTTTTTTTTTGTCGTCTGGCCCAGATGTATGATACGTGTCGTCTTCGCTGCCGTTTTCTATGCATTTGTTTGCTCTTAGATTCCATTAGTTGAGCGCCGGACACGAGAGACGCAAACGGCACATTGCGAAGCCGTATGTCGTGCAATGGGAGAATTTTCACAGGTTTTACATTAACGATACAAGTACGCGGAGAGCTGGGAAGTAAGGCTTCGCTGAGTATTCTGCGTGAAAATAGCTACGTAGGTATTACTGACGCAGCCAGGAGGGCGTGGGGGCGGTTCGGGGTGAAAAGTTTCAATGTTGCATATGCGGACACACATGCATTCACGCGCCAAAACATACAATAATTATAGTAAACCCGTCCCTCTCCCTCCCAGGAAAAAAATGTATAATTGAGTTTTGATGTGGAGTTCGCCCTGCGTTCGCTGCACTTATGGTGCTGACACTCAAGTTTACGTACCATAAACTGACCCCCTTCCCCCCCCCCCCCGTGTTCATTTCGGACAAATATGTATCCGTTCCTGGATACTTGCAAACTAAGTCGAAAGGTATTCGCCGTCTTACTTTACCACCCTTCTGAGCTGCGCTCAGCAACAAAATTGAATCAGGTCGTCGCGTTCACAAGACCCTCTTAAGATAGTTACTAATAGTGTTGCCAGCACTAATATAACTAGATAACGAGGCTGATGTATGGCAAAAGACACTTAAAAACTGAATGCCTTGTTGTAGGAATCTTCGTCAGCAAATATTTTCCAAGCGTGTTGAATGTTCTTCCCCTTGCTCATTTCTATGTACTAGAGTGAAATTAAAGAATTGTTGACAGCCTGGTAACCATATTATTGACCCCGTAGCTCACAGCGAACACACGCCTAACTTTATATTGTTTAGCTGCACCATAGCGTTGGTTGACGTGTAGGGAAGCGTGATAAGTCTCCTGAGGAGGTGCTACCGAGTGCAGAAACTAAAAAGAAAGAATCAAAATAAAATTAGTAAAAAAGCGGAAAAGATTAGAGCGACTTCGGCTTTTTGTTCGGCTGTTGTGTATATATATATATATATATATATATATATATATATATATATATATATATATATATATATATATATATATATATATATATATATATATATATATATAAGGGAAAGAAGTGTATACCTAAGGGCTCGTTTTTCCGTGTTTTTGACACAACGTAAATGAGATCTAACAGACAGTAGTGCCAAGGAATGTACAGGGGAAGTTATTAGAACCAATGGAATGTACATAAGAAGAAAGAAAAGTGGATGATAGATCCTGCTCACGGCTGGTTATTTCTTCATCCACTTTTCTTTCTTCTTATTTACATTCCATTGGTTCTAATAACTTCCCCTGTACATTCCTTGGCATCACTGTCTGTTATATATATATATATATATATATATATATATATATATATATATATATATATATATATATATAAAGCTCTACGCGCTTTGACCTGTATAAGGCAGTTGCTAATTTCGGCAGGAATGCACATCGACCGAATGCCAAAAGACCCGTCCACTATCCTCGACTACATGAAAACACAAGGAGGTGGAGGAGGAGGATAAGGCGGAAGAGGGGGAACTATATTCCGCGAGCTTCGTTTCTGCTTGAGCCCGAAAATGCCCGCCTTGGAGGTGAAATGTCGGCAGCCGTGGTTTCGGAACGCAGGCGCATCCGGCCGCGCGCGCATGCTTATACGCTCGACTCGGACACACACGCTCGGCGGCTGATCGTGACGGCGGCGAAACGAATAAACCACAAAGCCCCGGACGGGAGAAGGAGCAGCGAGAGCAGGCGCACCGCACTGACCCACATCCGCGACCCATCATTTGCGCTCAAAGGCCCGGCTGCCTCATTGTTGCCAGCGCGGCGTTGCTTTTTCCTCGGCGGCGCCTGACCTTCGCGGCGACCGCGAAACGGTATATGCTCGCCCCGACAGGCTGACGGCCGGATTTCGAGAAGTGAGGATTCGCTCGACGTTCCGGCCCTTACGAAACGCGACGTCTGCGAGCGTCGTCGTGCTTGTGTACAGTGTTAGAC